GTGAGGAACTTCATAAGATAAGAAAATATAGAAGGAACAAAGAATAAGACACGCAAATCTGGGGCAGGATGGAAAGGAGACCATGATAACTTTACACGAAGTTCCGCATAACGGATGTCGACAATTTTGTTATCGATGGATTCCTCTCGCTCTCTACATTCCAAATATATGTAAATCACTTGGACAATATGCAATATGAGGTAGTGGTGGAGTTGGGTAATGAAACCTATATAAATCAATAGCCACAAACCAAGACATGGTAATTCTTTCCAACATAAATGCACCCGTTGGAGGCTAAGTCCCCACTCCAGTCAACAATCTTGGGGGATCCCGTGGGGAATTGGGGGTTGGGGGGTATGGTTGATTTCGCGCATACCAGGGATTTTAAAAGGTAAAGAAAGTAAAAATGAAAAACCCGAGCCAAGAATCGCATATCACAAAGTAAAGAAAGTGAAAAATTAAAAAACCCGAGCCAAGAATCACATTTCACAATGTAATGAAGACTTGATTCCGTGTTGCGGAAACAAACGAGCGTGCGAATCCAGCTTAAACACACAATCATATAGATAGCCGTATGAACCAAAGAACTCCCTAACCCGGGTGCTATGCCCCGGACCCCTCCCGATCACTGTAATTCCCTATTGGGGGCGTTGTATTCCCCCGGACCCCATCTTTCCTTAACCTATCACAACCATAAACGCAGAATCTATTATAAAAATAGCTGTATGACCCAAAGAACTCCCAAACCCGGACCCCCTCTCCAGCGCAGTGTTTCCCTACCAGAGGCTCTGTTCCCCTCTTTCCCTAACCCAATCATAAGCATAAGCATTTACCTTACTGTGGAGGGTATAGCCAAACGGCGGCGAGGAGGGAGTCATGAAACCTTTTATTCGGCTCGCTGACTCTCATAAAAAACAGTCACCGTTGCACTTTTCACACTGTAAGTTTTTTAATATTAAATTGTGCTCTTGGCACAATTTGATCAGTCCTTCTATGTTATCACTATATTTGTGAAAGAAATCCTCAAAACCAAGGTCGCACAAGCTACAAAAACTATGATCCACATCTGTCTGCTGGGGAAGAAGGAGTGACCCGGGTCGTGAATCCTTAAAAGCTGGGTCGGACACACGTTAAGAGCGGGGTCGTTAAGAGCGTTATGAAAAAACAAAATACACATTATGTAGCTAATAATACAATGTAAATGAATGTTTAAGGGCAGATTGCGTATATGGTAATATAGTATAAAGTGATTAGTATAAATGTAATGAAAAAAAGTACTATCAGATGATTTGTAATATGTATGAAATACTGGTAGTAGTTAGCATGACGTTAATGCAAATGTCATGGCTTGTAAATGATAGTAATGTCACGTGACGTACATGCGCAGTCTGAGGGAAGTTGCTTTAAAAGCTGCGTGTGGACTTAAACTCATGAGTGAATTTCCAACTTATATGCGTTCCACATGCAGGCACTTAGCCGCATTTATGACGTTATACTTTGTCTCTGCAGATCATTTCATATATCACTGAGTGTATTTTTTACATATTTTTGTGACGGTACCCTTAGATTTTCCCTATCTTAGCGCGGTTTTGATATTAAGAATAACCCGACACTTCTTCTATGGTAATATTTGAGCAAATGCTTCCCTAAGGTGCTATACGGAAATGAACAGATGTGAGAGCCAAATTTTGGCAAAGTCAATCATCTTGTTTTCATGTCGAGAGTAAACACTGGACAGACGGCAGAACTTATCACTGCAAGGTGCGAAATAGTTCATGTGTTACTGTACGACTGTCAAAATGATATTTTGCCAATCATCAGTGTCTGTCGTTCCACATTTATGCTTTCAAAGGCCTTTATTATATTAATGTGCCTCATTTACTTGTTTTAAGATTCATTATATAAGTTTTTATGGGAATTGGTCTGAAGAATCTTCTGTATTTTCATATTCCACATCTTTTGATACCAAATTTATATTGGTTCCTATTGTCACCTACAAAAAAATTATGAATTATGTTATAAAAACAAAAAATATGAATGAACATCAGTGAATTCCTAAGACAACTATGAAATTCGATTTAGTTTCTTCAGAAAAAAAAGTAGCCTTTTTTCGATTTTCAAAAATTTGTATTAAAAAGTAAGCAACATGTAAAAAATCTGATACGTAGTTGTCTGTGCATTTTCACAAGATTTCCAACAATATATTCAAAACTTTAATCAGATAAAAACTCTGGGGCAAGGAATCTTCCATAGCTCGAAAAAAATAAAATAATATAAAAATAAGATAAATAGACAAATAATTGGATACCAGATGTTCATTTTTTATATTTTTTCATTTATGGATTTTACCATTTCATTACTGTAGAAACTATTATGATTTGTCTTTCAAACTCACTTCGGTATAGACATGATCATTAGTCTCCGAGTTATAGAAATAAACAAACAAATGACTCCTGTGAAAAGGGGCAAATCCAGACCCAATACAACATGACCATTATATAAAATCACTTGTTTCGTGTTTTATACCTCTATTATTAATGTTTTCTTGTGTAAATATTCGTTTACATGTGTTTATGTATGTAAAATGTTGTTAAGGTACATGTTTGTGCACATTAGATCTATATATATTTTAGTTAATTTCTTTATATTCTAGTCCACTCTTCTTACGCATGTCTAACCACGTGATTCCGCATTGAAACAGGTGATAAGCGTTTATAGTCATGAGCAGAGTACTTGTTATGGAGGGACAATGAATTGTTTCTTGTTCGTTAGAAATAACCATCCAGAAAACATTGATATATCAAAAATATTTTGAAATACAAATCACTTAAATTTGTTTATCATGGACGCTTCATCTTGTGATGTAGTTATCAGATATTTGTAGGCTGATTTTAAGAGTTTGCACGAGTAAATTATATCATACTCTCTCTTTACATTTATTTCTATTTTTTTTGTAAAATGGGTTTATAATGACATAATGATGTTTAATCGATTATTTAGTTTCAAATGAAAGCACATACGTAAATTTAATGCAATCAGAAAAGTCAAAAATGGTGGCGACAATCGGAACTCTCTCTTGTGTGGGTTCCTTCGACACAGCCGTTGACGTGGGTGAGCGCCCAGCCCGTGTAAATACCTATTCATTTCGAGTTTATCTTTAGAGATACAGACTTATAACTCTTCATGTATTATCATCTAACTCTAATCATACTTGTATGATGAATATGTCAAAATTGAATCATATCTACTTTATTTTATGGAAAAGAAATTTGAAAAGTCATGTAAGGATTTTTTGTTTTTCTTCATTTTTCATATCATAAATCATTCACTTTGGGAAGACACTTTATCTTCCTGTGATCCAAATCAATAGGTAATGTCATAATATAATGCATCATATTCGCTCCTATAAAGTGAGAGTGCGGAAAGGTGAAAATCGCTGACACTGTGACAATGGCACTCAGGGTTCTGGCCTCGTGCGCTGCCTAAATTCTTTGTTGCGGGAGTTTATATTGACGGGGGTAATTCTACTCTCATATACGAATATGAAACTGACTATAACTCATTTTCGACTATTCCGACCCAAAATCCCAGACTCGTCCCCCCCCCTCACACCAGCGATGGTCCCCCTAAGACTATACAGTGGCAACAAAGAAGAAAAAGATCTTAATAACTATCGCAGCTTGATTTCTGAGGCCATCAAGTACCCCAAATGCTGAAAAAAAAGTGATAAAAATGAAGTGATCCACAGTAGACAGACTGACTGACCGACCGAAATAAGTGAAGGAAAATTGACAGCCCTTTTGATCTATAAAGGTATTTGGTTTGCTGCTTACAGTATGGATGTAGCTCTATCTTGCCGTACATACTGAGGTGAAGAGAATATGTCCCGGTGGGTTTTGCCATCGGCCCTCCCTTCGGGCAGTATGCCTAGTCATGGCACCATAAACTGCTAGGTTAGATTGGGTCATGGGTTAGGATGTTTTTTTGAGTTTGGAAGGTGTGAAATCCCCCAGATTTTGCTGAAAGATGGGTTGGATTCCCGTAGTTTTTTAAATTTTGGCATGTCAGTGCGAAGACTTTCAAAGATGGCAGGCAGGTCCGTAGAGTTTACTTAGTTTTGCTAGTTTTATTTTTTTTTTTTTATTTTTCTTTAAGCCTCTTTTACCCCATAATTTCCCCGACATACTTCATGCCCTCCCCTGCTATCGGGACTAACAAATTAAGATTGTCGATGGACGTGGTACTCAGATCTCCTCAATTAAGCACTTGCACAAGAAACAACACCAAGAATCGTTGAAATCAGTGGATTTCATGCAGATAGATATTAAAATTGTTTTGAAAATAAGCCACTACCCTGTCCTACATATTGATCAAAACGACATCTAACTCCAAACCTGAAAAAAATTACCTTGCCATCCAACAGAATGTAACATTCAAAGGCACTTCTTGGAAATCTTTGAGTGGATATATATATATATATATATATATATATATATATATATATATATATATATATATATATATATATATATATATATATATATATATACATATATATATATATATATATATATATATATATATATATATATATATATATATATATATACACACATATATATATATATATATATATATATATATATATATATATATATATATATATATAATATATATATATATATATATATATATATATATATATTATATATATACATATATATATATATATATATATATATATATATATATATATATATATATATATATATATATATATATATTATATATATATATATACATATGTATATATACATATATATACATATGTATATATACATATATATACATATGTATATATACATATATATACATATGTATATATACATATATATACATATGTATATATATATATATATATAATATATATATATATAATATATATATATTATTATACTATATATACATATATATATATACATATATATACATATATATAC